ATGTGGCCAATGTGGTCCTAGATGGAGCCTACTGCATCATGATGTCAGGAGAGACCGCCAAAGGGACCTACACTCTGGAGGCCGTTCGCATGCAGCACCTGATTGACGTGAGGCAGAGGCCGTCATCTCCACCTGCAGTTATTCGAGGAACTCCACCAACTGGCGCCGATTACCAGCGACCCCGCAGAGCTGCTGTGGAGGCCTCTTTCAAGTGCTGCAGTGGGGTCATTATCATGCTCACCAAGTCTGACAGGAGTGCTCACCAGGTGGCCAGGTCGTGCGCCCGTCATTGCTGTGACCCGCAATCCCCAGACAGCTCGCCAGGCCCATTTGTACCGTGGCATCTTCCCTGTGCTGTGTAAGGACGCAGTGCAGGACGCCTGGGCTGAGGATGTAGGACCTCCGTGTGAATTTGGCCATGAATGTTGGCAAGGCCCGAGGCTTCTTCAAGAAGGGAGATGTGGTCATTGTGCTGACTGGGTGGCGCCCAGGCTCTGGCTTCACCAACACCATGCGTGTAGTGCCTGTGCCTTGATGGCCCTCTGGAGCCCCTCTTCTAGCCCCTGTCCCATCCCCTCCTCCATCCCATCCATTAGGCCAGCAACACTTGTAGTGCTCACTCTGGGCCAGAGTGTGGCGCTGGTGGGCTGGGACACCCGGGAAAATTACTGCCGCTGAAACATGGAATAGAGCCCAGCTGTCTGTCTATAAAATGGCCCTACCCAAGCCAGGGGTGACAGAGGAATGCAGAATTGGAAACCCTCTGGCTTTATCACAAAGGGGCAGCAACATATCTGTGTACTTTGCTCCCGTAGAAAGTTGCCCAGACCCACCCACTGAGACAGTGGGGCTGATCTATTGGGAGCTCACCAAGGCCAGCTGGACTGGGACTGAAAAAGCATGGGATAAAACCGGACTCTCTGATCATGGCGAACAATGAGGACCGATGAGAAGCCAAGGACAATGGCACGGGGTTTTGATCCTACTTCATGTTCTGGCTTGGTGGGAGCCTAGCCAGTTTGGATGTTCACCTTCCTAGACATGGACAGAGTGGGGGAGGACCTTGAATTTTCCACAGGGCAGGGAACCCTGATTGCTCTTTGGACTGGAGAGGGAGGGGGAGAGGAGTGGGGAGAGGGAGAGAAGGGTGTGAGGAGGGGGAGGGAAATGGGAGGCTGGGAGGAGGCGGAAACTTTTTCCCTTTTCTCAAAAAAAAAAAAAAAAAAAAAAAAAGCCCAGAGAACTCCCAGCCCTGGCCTGGAGTCAGGAGACAGCAAGGCATGGGGCCCAGGTTCCTGTGTAGATAATAACCTCTGGCCCCCGGCGGGACTTGCTTCCCCAACAGCTTTGGCCTCCCCACTGCTCATTGCACACTTCTGAGCTGTCACTGCAGGCACACCCTGCACTTTCCACCTCCATTCTACTGTGCAGCATCTCCAGGCCTGTTGCTATAGTGCCCACCTGAGTGTCAATAAACAGCAGCTGAAGCAAAAAAATAAAAAATAAAAATAAATAAAAACAAAAACTTCAAGGAAATAAGACCAAGTAACATATAAATGCAGACCTATTAGAATTACACCCAACTTCTCATAAAGACTCTAAAAGCCAGTAGGGGCTGCACAGATGTTTTACAGACTCTAAGAGACCACACATGCCAGCACCACACTACTGTACCCAAAAAAATTCTCAGTAACATTAGATGGACAAAGTAAGACATTCACTAGAAAACCAAATTTAAGCAATATCTATGTACAAACCTAGCCCTACAGAAGGCACTAGAAGGAAAAATCCAGCCTAAAGAGGTCCACTACACCAAAGAAAACACAATAAATAACTCCAAAGCAGCAAATCAAACGGAAAAATGCATACGCATCCCTGCCACAATAACAAAATAACAGGAGTTAGCAAGCACTGTTCACTGATATCCCTTAACATCAGTGGTTTCGATTTCCCACTAACAAGACACAGACTAACAGAATAGATGCAAAAGCAGGATCCACACTTCTACTGCATCCAAGAAACACACCTTACACACCTTAACATCTAGAATAGACTTCACCTCAAGTTAAAAGAATGGAAAGAGATATATCCAAGCAAAGGACCCAAAAAGTAAGCAGATGTAGCCATTTTAATATCTGAGAAAATAGCCTTCAAACCAAAACTAATCAGAAGAGATCAAGGGCATTACATATTCAAAGGAAAAATTCACCAAGAGGACATTGCCATTCTAAACATTAATGCACTATATACAATGGCACCCAAGTTTATAAAAGAAACACTACTAAATCACATATTGGCTTTCACACATTTTTGTGTGTAAGTTCAGTACTCCACTCTCAACAATAAACAGGTCACACAGACAAAAACTAAACAGAGAAATGCTTGAGATAACTGATGTCATAAACAAAATGGACCTACCTGATATTTACAGAATATTTCACCCAAACTCCAATTATATACCTGCGTGTCAGCACCTTGTGGAACATTCTCCAAAAATGACCACATACTCAGGCACAAAGCAAGTCTCAACAGACACAAGAAAACCAAAACAAAACCATGCATCCTGTCTTACCACCCTGGATTAAAACTAGGTATCTTTTTTGTTAGTTTGTTTGTTTCGTTTGATTTGGCTTTTCAAGTCAGAGTTTCTCTGTGTAGCAGTCCTGGCTGTCCTGGAACTGACGTTGTAAATGGGTTGGCCTCAAACTCACTGTGATCTACATGCCCCTGCTTCCCAAAGTACTGGGATTAAAGGCATGCACCACCACTGGCTGGCTTAAATCTGGATATCAATGATGGAAACAACACAAAGTTTACAGACTCATTGAAACTGAAGTCACTAATGAATGAAAAAACTGGCTCAAGATAGAAATAAGAAAAAAAAAACAGTGCTGCTATGAACATAGTTGAGAATATACTTTAAAAAAAGAAATAAGAAAAAAATAAAAACTTTTTGGAATTGAAAGAAAATGAAACGCAACATACTCAAACTATGGGACACAACAAAAGCAGTTAGTTCTAAGAGGCAAGTTTGTAAAACCAAGTACCTACATTAAAAAACAATTGAAGATGTCTTATTAGAGTAATTTAATAGCATACCTGAAGGCTCAGAACAAAAAGGAGAAATCATACCCAAAATGATAGATAGCAAGAAATAATCAAACTCAAGGATGAAAGCAATAAAATAAAACTACAAAAAATCAATGAAACAAAAAGTTGAGTTTTTGACAAAATCAATAAGATTGACAAACCTTATATAAATTAAGTAAAAGTTGGAAAGAGAATATCAAGATTAACAAAATTAGAAATAAAAAGAGGGACATAACAACAGTGTGAGAATCGAGAGAATCATAAGGACATGTTTTAGAAACCTGTTGTCCATCAAACTGGAAAGTCTAAAAGAAATGGGTATTTTTCTCTATACACTTACCAAAGTTATATCAAAATCAGATAAACAATTTAAATAGACCTGTAACCCAAGTAAAATGGAAACAGTCGTTAAAAGTCTATTAATCAAAAAGAAAGCCCAGGGTCTTTTTGTTTGTTTGTTTTAACACAAAAAAAAAAATCTACCAAACTTTCAAAGAAAAGTTTATGTCACTATTCCTCAAATTATTCCACAAAATAAAAACACAAGGAAATCACCCAGTTTGTTTACCCTGATACCTAAACCTCACAAAGATACAACAAGAAAGAGGATTCCAGACCAATTTTCCTTATGAATGTAGGTGCAAAAATTCTTGCATAAAAATGCTTGCAAAATAAATCCAAAAACAAATTTAAAAGATCATTCGGCATGACCAAGTAGGCTTTCATCCCAGAGATGCAGAATGATTCAACATATAAAAATCAGTAAATAAGCCAAGTGGTGGTGGTGAATGCCTTTAGTCCCAGCACTAGGAAGACAAAGGCTGGCAGATCTCTGTGAGTTTGAGGCCAGCCTGGTCTACAAGAGCTAGCTTCAGGACAGACTCCAAAGTTACAGAGAAACCCCATCTCATAAAAAATAACAACAACAAAACAAATCAGTAATCAGATCAAATAAACAAACTGAAAGACAAAACTACATGATCATCTCATTAGATATAGAAAAGACCTTTGACAAAATCCAACACTATTCATGAAAAAAGTTTTGGAGAGATTAAGGATATATACCTCAACCTAAAAAGGGTAGCTTACAGCAAGTCCATAGCCAGCATCAACTTAAATGAAGAGAAACTCAAAGCAATTCCACTAAACTCAGTAAAAAGACAGGGTTGTTCAATCTATCACCATTCAATATAGTACTTAAAGTTCTACCTAGAGCAGTAAGGCAACTAACAAGGGGATAAAAATTAAAAAGGAAGAAGTCAAAGTATCTTTATTTACAGATAACATAATAGTACACATAACTGGCCCTAAAAATTTTCTGGGAAAATCCAAAGTAACTAGATACAAAATTAACTGATAAAATCAAGAGTCTTTCTGTATACAAATGACAAATGGACTGAACAAGAAATCAGGGAAGCAACTCCTTCCATAATAGCCTCAAATAACATAAAGTATCTTGGGATAACTAACTAAGCAAGTGAAAGACTTGTACGATAAACATTTTAAGACACTGTCAGGTGGTGATGGCTCATGCCTTTAATCCCAGCATTTGGGAGCAGAGGCAGGCAGATCTATGTGAGTTTGAGGCCAGCCTGTCTACAGAGGGAGTTCCAGGACTGGCTCCATAGTAACTGAGAAATCCTGTCTCGAAAACCCAAGCCAAAACAAAACCTTTAAGACACTAAAGATTAGTTTGGATAGGGTTTTGTCAATCTTGTTGATTTTCTCCAACTACAAACCAGCTTTTTGTTTCATTGATTCTATGGATTGTTTTCTGCGTTTCTATTTTGTTGATTTCAGCCCTCAGTTTTGTGGGAGTGATTCCTTAATAATAAAGAAACTGCCTCGGCCCTCATAGGACAGAAAATTAGGTAGGCGGAGTAGACAGAAGAGAATGCTGGGAGAAAGAAGCCGAATCAGGGAGTCGCCATGATTCTCCCGCTCCAGACAGACGCAGGATAAGATCCTCCCTGGTAAGCCAGCTCGTGGGCTACACAGAATATTAGAAATGGGTTAGAACAATATGTAAGAGCTAGCCAATAAGAAACTGGAACTAGCCGGGCCAGGCAGTGTTTGAAAGAATACAGTTTCCGTGTAATTATTTCTGGGCATAAACTAGCCATGCGGGCGGCCGGGTGCCGGGGACGCAGCCCTGCCACTCCTATTTCAACACAGTTTGATTATTTCCAGTCTTCTACTCCTCTTGGGTGAGTCTGCTTTTTTTTTCTAGAGCTTTCAGGTGTGCTCTTAAGTCTCTGATGTGAGCTTTCTCCGTTTTCGTTATGTGGGCACTTAGTGCTATGAATTTTCCTCTTAGCACTGCTTTCATAGTGTCCCATAGGTTTGGGTATATTGAGTCTTTATTTTTGTTGAACTCAAGGAAGACTTTAATTTCTATTTTTATTTCTTCCTTGACCCAGGGATGGTTCAGTAGTTGACTGTTCAGTTTCTACAAGTTTGTAGGCTTTCTGGGGGTAGAATTGTTGTTGAGTTCTAACTTTATTCCATGGTAATCCAATAGTACACAGGTGGTTACTACAATTTTTTTGTATCTGTGGATGTTGGCTTTGTTACCAATTATGTGACCAATTTTTGATAAGGTTCCATGAGATGCTGAGGAGAAGGTATATTCTTTTCTATTTGGTGGAATGTTCTATAGATGTCTATTAAGTCCATTTGGCTCATTACATCTGTTAGTTCTCTTATTTCTCAGTTAAGTGTCTGTCTAGTTGACCTGTCCCTTGGTGAGAGAGGAGTGCTGAAATCTCCTACTATTACAGTGTGGGGTTTGATGTGTGCTTTGAGTTCTAGTACTGTTTCTTTTACATATGTGGGTGCTTTTGTAACAGGGGCATAGATGTTCAGGATTGAGAATTCCTCCTGATGAATTGTTCCTGTTATGAATATAAAGTGTCCTTCTCCATCTCTTCTGATTGATTTTAGTTTGAAATCAATTTTGTTAGATATTAGTATAGCCATACCTGCTTGTTTCTTTGGTCCATTTGATTGGAAAACCTTTTCCCATCCCTTTACTCTGAGGTAGTGTCTGTCTTTGAGGTTGAGGTGTGTTTCTTGTAAACAGCAGAATGTTGGATCCTGTTCGTTTCCTATCCATTCTCTTAACCTGTGCCTTTTTATAGGTGAATTGAGTCCATTGATATTAAGTGATATTAATGACCAGTGGTTGTTAACTCCAGTTAATTTTTTGGTGGTAGTGTTAGTGTGTTTCCCTTCTATGAGTTGTGCTCGTGGAGAGTTTTCAGATGCCTGTGTTATTATGGGTGTTGTTGGCTTCCTTGGTTTGTGGTTTTCCTTCTAGTACTTTCTGTAAGGATGGGTTTGTGGCTACGTATTGTTTAAATCTGTTTTTGTCCTGGAATATATTATTTTCTCTATCGATGGTGAATGCAAGCTTTGCTGGGAATAGTAGCTGGGCTTGCATCCATGGTCACTTAGTGTCTGCCAGCACATCTATCCAAGACTGGCTTTCACAGTTTCCACTGAGAAATCAGGTGTAATGCATGTACCTACAGACACCTGATCTTTGATGAAGAAACCAGAAATACATGGGGGGAAAGACAGGATCTTCATCAAATAGTGGGGTTAAACTGGATGATTGTATGTAGAGAATTCCTAATAGATAACATACTTATCACCCTGCACAAAACTCACCTCCAAAAAGATCAAAGAGCTCAGTCAAGTAGAGCATGAGGCTCTTACTCTCAGGGAGGTGGGTTTATGCCCCACACTGGGCCACAGGTTCAGGCAAGGGTAAGTGAGTTCATGAGAGCCCAAAATAAAAGAATATCAAATATTTATTGGGGAAGACTCATGAATAACAATGAGGTGAAGAGTCACCACTGTCCTTTGCCCTGGAAGCAATGGAAGCTGCAACCAGATCTCCAACCACCACAGAAGAGAGACCGTTCCTCTCCCTTATAAGAGATGATGTCGGCACACAGAAGCTATCCTAACGCTGAGACTCCCCACCCAAAAAAAAAAAAAAATTAGTGGAAAGGAATTCCGACACAGACCTCAACCTAAAAACAGATATCTTGAACCTAACAGAAGAAAAAGTAGGAAACAGCCCTGAAATCAAAGGCTCAGGGAAAGACCTGAACAGAACACTATTAACACAGACACTAAGATCAACAATTAATAAATGGGATCTCATGAAACTGAAAAGCTTCTGCATGGCAAAAGATCCCACCATTCAGACAAAGCGGCAGCTTACAGAATGGTAAAATATTTTTTTTCCAACTACACATCTAATAGAGGGCTAATATCCAAAATTATATATATATATATAAAAAAAAAAAACTAAGTCCGGGAACTGGCAAAGCCTGCTTGCTTAATCCCACTGGCCACAGGCGTTCTGACGTCACGCGGGCGGAGACTTTAAAAGCCAAATGGCTCTTGGTTGGGGTTGGCGGTGTTTTCCTGTGCAGTTGTGCATTTACTGGAAGTGGGCGCTGGGTCTCCTCAAGAACCCGAGAGAAAGGTAACTGCTGACAGGGGGTTAACTCTGTTCCTGCTAAGAGGCTCTGTGGCATCAGAGACCTGGGGCGGCATCTGCATTCAGGGATCAGTAAGTTTGTGCCCACAGCGCCTGTAGAAGGAAAAGAGAATATTGATTGCTGACCGAGGTGTGTGTGTGTGGGGGGGGACCTGCCAGGGAGGGACAGGTTAAAACGCTGCTGTGTTCGCATGGTAATGCAGCATCTGAAAAGCCGTGTAAGGAGAAAAAGTCTGGGAAACTGAAGTCTTGAGAATAAAATCTAAGTGGAATGTAAGCAAGCCGAACAAGGAGGGGTGTGGCTCGGTGCACAGTCTATCGTGCTAAAGGCCCAGCTCAGACAAACAATCAAGTGGGTGTTAGTATTTGGGCATCTGTGTTGGCCTGCCTGCCCTTAGAGTCCTGACAGGATATGACCTCGCCTGTAGCCACTAAGAGCACTTCACCTGCAGCCACTTCTGCGCACATTTGCTATGGTTCCTTGTAACAGGTGGGCCTCCTCACCAAATCCCCACCCCCTTCTCCCAGTCTCTGCGTCCCTCACGCTCCTGCACTCTTGACCCCAGGGACTAGTCTGCCCCCCTCTCTGCCTCCTCTGCCCCTTCTCTTTCGTCTTCCAATAAACCTCCCATGTAAACCTTATCACATGGCGTGACTTCTCTTCGCTGCTTCTATATTATTATTATTATTATTATTATTATTATTATT